CACTGGGTGTGGAGATTACTTAAAAATAAACTATTAAAGAAAGAATGTAGGCTTTGACTACTGCCTGCCAATAAATTTTTATATTTATTATAGTAATTCCCTGATTTGCCTCTTCCCTTCTCAGCCTTATTCTGCTTTATGTCTCCTTGAGTTGATGCCATTTGAGAAATGTCACCTCAAAAGTGTCACATTTCAATATTCATGTTTCTTGCCAAAGGACTTTGGTTAATTTTTTACATATTCCCCAGTCACTTAATTTATAACATTGAGTTTGGTTGAATTTGTAGAGCCAATGAAGGTCCTATGAGGACATTACAAAAATTAAATAAGCCCAAATTTAACTGAATCTAGTAATAATAATATATAGCTACCTCTATGTTGTGTATGTTGTGTCGTGGGTCACTGAATGTGTTACTGTCCCCAGAATCTCTGGGCTAGAATATCCTTAAGCAGCCGGTTTGCTGCAGTGCAGTTTGTAGTTAGGATATTTTGGACAAACTGTAACATTTGGATGACTACTTTGTAGTGTTAGAATATTTATCCTGTAATAAATAGTTTTCACAATCTCAGCACAAAGAACATTTGCCTTTAGGAAAGGAAGACAATTCCGGAATGCAAATAGGGCTGATTAACCAGCTTTCATTTGACTTTAGACTTGTGATCACCTCCAACCCAAACCCAATAACAATAGGCCAGGTTTAACAGCCAGCTGTGGAGTATCATTTCTATTTCTTAGAAATCCTGCGAAGTCTGTACTCAATGTGAATTCATCTCAGAATTGTGGCTTACAGTCACTTGACTGTTTACTCAACAAATGCTTGAGTACTTACCATGTACCAGTCAGAGCTAGAGGCTGGGTATCTGTTTGTGAATGGACCAGGTGTAGTGTCTTTGTGGAAATTGCAATGTAGGATATCTGGGTTCCATGGTACTCCAGGAACTTCTCCTACTTCTTTTCATTCATTCTCCTAGGGAAGCAAACAACCATACTGAAGGTAGGGGAAAGTACCTTAGAATAAAGCTGACTGACTTAGATACTGGTAAGCATTTTTGAGAAGAAATAGCTTAGCATTTATCTTTTTTGTGTGTTTTTGTTGTTTTTGTCGGTTTTTTTGGCCTTTATTTTGATATTGACCCATAATGGTGGGCTGTCTCTAGGTGCTCTGTGACAAAGTAAGTGGATCGGATGCCCGTGGTTCATGACCATGCAGGAGCCTTCCAGAATATTCTAGTTCAGTAATTTCCTGGAGTGGGGCTTATTGGAACTTCAGGGAGGTGGAGGTGGAGGTAGGTGGGAATGGATGGAAGGACACTGTGCAGGAGTTTTTTAAAAGGGATGTTGTATCTGTAAAACAAATAAACAAATTAAACTATAAGGAGCAAAACTTGGCAATACCTTCTTATTTTAGGGTAATACCAAGAATACTTTTAAGGCTGTGATGAATGTTTCCTCAGGTAGGGGGTGTGTATCAGAGTGAGAGGAGGGGTAACTCTAGATTTCTGCCTTAGTAGGAGAAAGATAGGAGTTCAGAAAGAAAATGAAAATTAAAAATGAACACCCACACAGAAGTTGATAAATATTGCCCTGGTAGTGGGTGGCCCCTGGAGAAGGATTCATTTTCTACTCACTTGAACAAGGCACTGCTCCAGTAAATAGCCATTAGTGGTATGAGGTCTGGTAATGAACACATTACTTAAAACCTTCACCATCTGTCCCACTTAAATCAGGAATGCAGTGAGAGTGAATTCCGTAAACACAGTGATAAGCCAGCAAAACCGCCCAATAAGAGCGTTTTAATACGGCATATGTTCCTTTTGCTAGCAGTGCAATTCTTTTGCTTCATATTTGTTTTCCAGTGTCATTGATTTAGCTCTATTAGAATTTTAGAGCTCAGAGGTGCTTTTGAGACCACCTAGTTTCCTCATCACCATTTTATAAATGAGGATAGTGGGAACCAGGAACGATTCCACTGTCCTCCAGTTACCGGTTCAACATGCTTTCCATGATGCCCCCATCTTCTCTGGCGTCAGATAAAAATGATATACTTGGTTCCTAAATCATTTAGATGTTAACATACGGCAATTATTTAAAGTGGTGTCTACTCCACTTTGATCGGTAGGGGGAGGGAGCGCTTGAGCTCCCCAGAGGGGCAGTTTTGGGAAGAGTGTTTTGCCCACTGGGTGGTGCTGTGAACTCCTTTCCTTTTCCACAAGACGCTGTCCCTGAGAACAAGTGCCAGCACGCACTGTGTGATTGTCCATGTTGTCAGAGAGGAAGCATTAAGAGTCCAGGCTCCGTGCTGGAACCTTGGCCAGAGTCGAATGTTTACTTGTCCAGTTGTCCAGTCTGTTTGAACCCTGGTTATGAAGATCCACTCATGGATAGTAAGTCCATTAGGAGGGATGTTAAACACCATTTTCCTCCCTACAAAGTCAAAATATATTACCAGTGATGTATTTCTTGGATGATCCAAGTATCATAATAAGCTTACAAGGCATACCCATGATCCCTCAAAAGTAAATTGAACACAGCTAGAGAACACAAGTTAGATTCCTATATGTGACAAGAATGCTAGAGAAAAAAATTGAAAGAATTTAATATAAACTTTAAAAATGATAGCACGTAAGACAGGAAGTGTTTGGCACCTTCAAATTATTATAAATCGAGGTCTTAATATGTACAAGAGAAGCATGTGGGGCTTTCACATATAGTATCTCCAACCATCCCAACCCTTTCAATATAGGTAGCATTATCCCTATTTTAGGGATGTTCGAAAAGTCATGACTTTAAAAGACCATGACTTAAAAACATATAGAATGAATACATGTCAGATATTTTACTCAACTCACTCATTAATAAGGGAAGCAGTAAGATGGTAAAACTGGTTTAAATAGAAGATTTGGAGAAACTGGCTATGTATAGGCATTTTGAAAAAAGAAATATAGGATCAGATTACTAGATTAGATACAAAACTGGTTAATATTTTTGAAGGCAATCAAACCGTAACCTGTGGGATTATCTTTTCTACCAGGCAGAAATCTACAAATGAACATACAACTTCACAGAGTCAGGGCTCTAATCAAATCGTAAACAATAAAGTCAAACACAGACGTTCTGCATGAGGATTGGTTATTCAACAGTGACCCAGTAGGACATTAAATTCATAGATGATTTTGATTTCCAAGTTTTGGCTAATTTTTCTTAACAAACATAAGGCCCAGAGAGGTTAAAGCCTTGGCAAAAATTATTACAGTCCCAGTTTCAAAACTAGGTCGGTCCATGTCCAAAGAGATTCCCATATTTTCGCTCTATAACACCACATTTCGTAATTTACCCGCATAAATACTGCAGCAGGAGTGGTTTTAAACGGCATTGTAAACAGTGTCAAAACATCTCTTGCCATCAAATATTAAAAACAACAACAACAACAACCACCCACAATCATCCCAACTTGATTTTTCATGGATTACTATTTTTCTTTTGACTGGAAAGAATTTGGTTTAATAATGATATTCAGGTATTTTTTAGGTTTTCTCTTTCCGTGTCAAAAAATCTATTCTAACTAGGAAGTGACTTTATTACCAGTGGCCTTGCTCCTTCACTAAAAATTCATTTGCTACTTTTCTACTTTCTGGCAGATGCCATGTGAGCAGGTAGGGGAATAGTGTCCTTGGATACCAGCGACTTGGTCTATGTGGAGGAAGCAGGTGGGAAGGAGGGAGAGCGGATGCCTAGAGAGATGAACTGCCAGTTTGGATCTGGGTGGGGTGGAGAGAGGCGGAGTTTGACTGAGCAAGTTATACTTCCGTTGTTGGCTGGATGAGGAGCAAAACCTCTCCAGGCAAGTGAGGGGAGTGAGGACAGCTCGTCTTGACCTGTCACTGAGCTACTTGGAAACCACACAAGAGGATGCTGGCTGGGTCTCCCTGGGGTGGATGGTAACAGTGCCATCTGAAATGAGCTCTTTAGCTTAAAAATATTTTCTAATATTATAAGAAGTGCTTTTTGACAACAGTTTGCAAGAGTGACTTAGCAAACACATGCACACATGCACATAAATAAATAAAATTGTATTTTATTTCCTTCTAGGAAAAGAAAACACTGCTAGAAAAAAAACTGTCTTTGGAAAACAAGCTGCTGCAACTGAAATCCAATGCTACGTATGCTAAAAGGTTTGCAAATCTCCCTCCTTACGAAAGCGGTTCCTGACACCTTTCCTCTCTGCTGTCTACTGGCCAGTGGACAGCAGGCTAGTACACTCCAAGGAGACAGGAGGGCTGAAAGGCAGGACAAAGGGAGATTTCTTAATATGAACAGCCACATGCCTCCCCTCCCTCCCACTGGGCAGAGTTCCCTGGAGGTACTGGGAAACTAGGGCAAGGTCAACCCTCCTGAAGAATGAATGAGCCTGTCCCTTTACTGTTGACGGGGGTGTTGAAGAGGATGCTTCATTCCCTCCTAATGCTTCTGATTTTGTTAAAGGGTCTCAGCTGTAGCCTGCAGCAAAGTGGCTAGCCCTCAAGCAGAACTGTCAGACCCTTTCACAGTGCTCCCCAACTTTGCAGAGTATGAAGGAACTACTCTGAATGCATTCTTAGTTCTTTGGACTTATTTCCGAATACTCATAATTTACAAGCTGTTACAGTCCCAAGTACGGGCGTGGACCATGGGTACCACCCAAGTGTTGGATTACTTCACGGCACTTAGAAAAATTCTGTGGAACATCATGTAATGCTCATCACATATAAAATTTCCTCACTCCCCCGCCTTCCCTTCCCTTCTCATTCTGAACCTGGCACTGTGGCGATAGGTCCTGATATAATGTTCAAAGTCAAGCCCATTTTGAGGTCTTATTGTATCCATCTGGAACTATTGCTTCCTAGGATATCAAGCACTCTGATGAGCCTCAGAAATTACAAATTCTTATTCTCACTTATTCAATCATATATACTCAAATATCCCTCTCTCTTGGTCTTTGATTTTTTTTTTCCTGTTTCTCTTTCCTTTACAATGATCTCTCTTTCTCTTCTCATCTCTCAAAAGCTTCAGCCTTCTGTCTGGGTCATGTTCATGTAGTGGACCACATATGCCAAAGTCCAGACCTGGGCTGACCCCAACAATTGCATTTCCATATTCAGAACATGCTGGAATACCACTGATGTTCATTTACCCATATTCTTCCTTGTGAACAAACATATAGCCCCAGGAGGTGGCTTTCTAAGAGGGCATCTCTGTAGAAGATGAAGGAAGTACTGTGGATGACATCCATAGGTCTTCAGAATCACTTGCATATACTCCTAACTTAACTCTAAGTAAATCTGTGGATAATGTTGTGTTTTCTTTTTTTCTTTCTGAAAAACATCCTGTCCATGCAGCAGAACTACTGGCTGGTACGATATGCTTTCCATCAAAAGCCCAGACAATCTGAGTCTGATTTTTTTTCTTTAAAAGTGATTTTTATTGATAATAGGGTTTTTGTCCATCTTTGAGCCAAAAACGTAACCATTTTAAAAACCAAACTGAACTATTCTTTCTGTTCTATTATATATGAGCAGTTGTTATAGGGAATTCTCAGAAAGCTCTTAGGGAGGATTTAGAAATGTCTTAAGGGAAATGGATGTTTTGTGTTTCTAGAAAGGTGTTTGAACATCCAGGCTTATGTAATTTTCATAGATTGTAGGCATCACAAATAGTATCTTACTTATTATTTGTCTGTGTGTAGAGGTATTCACTTTGTGAGGTGACAAGCAAATGGAATCAGTAGGAGTCAGGCTCTTTTGGTTAAAGCAATAGAGAGTTGGTTAAGCTACCACAAATAAGAAGATTCCTGGGTAGATGAAGATTGAACAGATACGGCCATAAAGAAGATGCATCTCGTGGGAAGGCAGGAGGACCACCCTTCAGCACCTAATGGGTTTTTAAAAACCACACAATTTTTTTGTTCCTATTCAGTTATGTGTATTTGTACAGTTTCACTCCTCCTTGTTCCTTGTTTTTCCTGTGTGATTTATTAACTTTTCTCGGTGGTTTTCTCCAGCTGGCTTATATTCTTCATTTTCCTTTCCAATTGCAGAGGAAAGAGTCTGTAGGCCTAATACTACTTCCTGTATTGGGCAGTTGGTTCGTGTTCGCCAGACTCCTACATCCTCATCAAACCAACGGCCTTTTGGCAGGCACCAATGCCCGGTCCTACAAGTGGACTTCCCTTACCCCCAAAATAGCCTGGAGCTGTTCCTCTGAGCAGGGGGTTCTGGGTGACTAAATTTCCGTTGGGCAAGATGGCGGGTTTGAAAGGTGCCATGACTCTGCCATTTTGATGAAAAGATTTAATATGTTCTAACCTGGCATTTCTAATATTAAAAAGCATCTCTAAAAATGACAACTTTTAAGTGTTCTATAATTCAGGAGAAAATGACAGTTTTTTTGCATATGGATATGAATATATAATTATATTATGCTAATCTCCACAATTACTTTTAATGAGAGTTAAGATACTTGGCAGAAGCATCTCATGAAAAACGAGGTTGACTCTGTATTTGTACTACCGTCGCTACTAACCAACACATGTATTGTGCCTTGCTGTTTATGGAGTAACCCCAGGCACCTTATTGAATTTAATCCTTTCATCCTTTCCTCCTTTTCGGGGAGGAAACTGAGCTTCTAGATGGTGAAGCGATTATACAGCCTTTCAGAAGTTGTAAGAGCTGGGAGTTTGGGCTCCAGAAATCTCACAGCAGTCTGTGCTCATTTGCTATAAAAGAGATTTGACCTTCTTTGATTTCTGGAGACCTCCGGAGCCTTTCCTCAGACTGGTTTCCTAATTCCCCTGTGTGTCTATGAGCAGAAGGCAGTTTCCCAGCTTGTCTCTCTGTCCTGTGACATCATGGACAAACACAAAAGTCCATTTTAGAGTTATTCTTTTGGAGAAACACAGGAGCTGTCCCTCAGAAAAATCCTTTAAAAAAGGATAGCCTGATGCCAGAAAACAATGAAGTCAAAGCCATTAGAACAGCGCAGAGCAGAGGGTGAGGTATGGTGTGTGTGAATAATGCTGCACTCTGATGGCGTAAGTTAACCAAAGATAGATTGTTAGAGTATCCTGATGAATGGATAGAGAGAGAACCCTCCCTTAATTCAATTTCCTTTGACTAAGTGTTTGGCAGACATTGGTCATCAGAGTGATTGAGGGTAGGTTTCTTGCCAAGTACTTATGCTACAATCATCCCATGTTACTAAAGGCTAAGTTATTTGTTTTCCCATGTCTGCAAGTTAAAGATAGGATAGACTTTCTCTCTTGAACGTTAAGGAATCTCAGAGGAAGAATATCAGAAATGGTGCTCTGTGTCCTCTCCCTCAGTGCCGAATGGAGAGAGGATCCTCGATGCCCTTCTTCCGAATAGGGCCAAGATTTTCCTCTCTTGTTGATGGGGCTTTACTTGTTTGCTCTCTTTGGCATTCCCAGACTACAGACGTTTTCAGCTCCAAGTCTGGGGTACATGAGGCAAAAAGAAAACTCAGGGAACTCACCATTGTGTTGTGCCTTGGGTTCCAAGGTCCTGAACTGGTCTGCCTTCTCTCCACCTGTCAGAGCCTTCTTGTGTTTGTTTGCATATAATGTCTAGGTTTTTTGATTGTACTCAATGCGAAGGATAGGAAAAGCACGGCTATGTCTTCCCAAAGTATAAGATTTTCAATTCTCTTCTGATTTCAGCATGTACTGTGTATTTATATGGAGACATTGGGAGGCAGAGCATGAATTAGACATCTGTTAGAAGGGCTCCATGCCCTTTTCTAGACCTGACCTTTGTAATGTTTTCTTCCTGCTGGTTTTGCTTTAGTACCTCTTTATTAAGACAGAGTTGCTTTAACAGAAAGATAAAGAGCAGAGACGAAGGGAGCTCAAGAGGTGATTTATTTCAGGATAGTCTCACATTTAAAGACCTTAAATGGGTGACTAGGTTCGTATTTACTGAACAATCCTAGGAGAGAACCTCTGTAACGTCTGTTAGTCCGCATTCTAGTGTACTAATACAGATAAGTCTGACAGCCGTGTTTTCAAGAGTGCTTCTAGAAATTATTTTCTTCCATCTTGAGACCTATTTCAGATTTCTGTTTTTCTACAGTGACTTCCGTGGTCATAACGTCACAGACTATGCGGGGAAATCTCTAGAGCTCTGTATTTTGAGGAGCATAACATCTACCCACCCCATCTTTTCTTCTTTTTTTTTAAAGATTTTCTTTATTTATTTGACCGAGAGAGACACAGCAAGAGAGGGCTCACAAGCAGGGGGAGTGGCAAAGTGAGAAGCAGGCTTCTTGCTGAGCAGGGAACCCGATGAGGGGCTCGATCCCAGGACCCTGAGATCATGACCTGAGCTGAGCAGAAGGCAGAGGTTTAAGGACTGAGCCGCCCAGGCACCCCCAATCCATCTTTCTAAAGCCACCTTTTTATCCCCTCTGGTCTGAGTTGTGGGTCATCATAGGACACAAGAAGACCATTAGGAATATTCATCTTTAACATTTTTATAAATTAAAACAATTTCATTTTCTTATGGGCTCGTGAACAGTCTATGAGTATTCAAAGCCAGCTTGCCTCTGCAAGGCATCCTGAGTTCTTTTTCCTTACCTCCCAGAGCAGTCCTGAGTGTGGCTGCCCCCTCCCTACTGCTCTCCTGCTACTTTCTCTCCTCCCTGGGGCAGTCTCAGCACCAGCAGCTGTGGGCACAATTCTCTTTGCTTTCTCTGCTGTTCTGATCTGTATGTCCTCAACTCATCTTGTGTATGTGTGCGGGATCTCTAGTCCCTTTCTAATTTTCCTACGGGGGTATCTGTCGTATCAATCAGTAGATGTATCCTTAGATACTCTGGGCACAATGCCTTTATTAATCATGTGAGCTACCGATGTTCTGAGGCTATCCAGTTCCCTCTTATTTGATGACTCCAGTCTTTCCCTTTGTGTTTAATACTGTTTTGAGTTCGATGTTAAAAAATCTTCACCTATTGCACATTTGTGAGGATGTTCTTTTACATTATTTTCTGAAAGTCTGTTGGGCCCCAGCTTTATTTACAATCTACATGGAATTTATTTCTCTTATGAGGTGAGTGTAGGATTAATTTTCATATTCTTTCTTTTAGATGAATGTAGAGTCGTCTCAGTACCATTTGTTGAAAGGGTCATCCTTTTTTATAACATTCTGCAGAATTGTCTTTGATACAAATCAAGTCTGTTGGCCTATCCTTGTGATATATATGCATATGTACAATCAAAGTGGTACAGATAGAGCATAATTCATTTAGTTCTTTTTTTTTTAAGATTTTATTTATTTATTTGACAGAGAGAGATCACAAGTAGGCAGAGAGGCAGGCAGAGAGAGAGGAAGGGAAGCAGGCTCCCTGCTGAGCAGAGAGCCCGACGCGGGACTCGATCCCAGGACCCTGAGATCATGACCTGAGCCGAAGGCAGCGGCTTAACCCACTGAGCCACCCAGGCGCCCCGTTTAGTTAGTTCTATTTGATGACCATTTAGAGTGTTCTAATTTTTATGCTATGAACAATAATGAACTACATTTTACTTATATTCTGTGTAACTGCACGGTATTTTTATAGTATGACTTATTTCATTCCATAGGGTAAGTAAATAATAATGGTTATCATTATACAATATATGTAGTTGTACAAGAATTTCTATGGTTTCGTAGAGATTAATTTTTTTCTATAGTAAAACAAACCATTTTTAAAGCTCTGTCATGCAAAGCCAAAAGAGGGGAAAAAATTTAAAGACCTTCTTAAATATTGCAAGTTACCTGCAAATTACTTGGCTTTGAGAGAGAATATTACCTATGTTATTGAGCCAACTTTAGTGGTTCGGTGCTGGGCTACACAAAGGACGGGCTACCATATTCACTGGCAACATCCGGGTGCCTATTGGAAATGCAGAATCTTAAGCCCCATCCCAGCCTCCTGGATCAGCTGTGCCTTTTAACAAGATCCCTCATGATTTCATAAGACCCTCCAATGCATATTAAGTTTGAGATGCAGTGTTTCAGTACATGATGTGAAACAAAATGAGACTCTCTTTTCTTTCGAATGAGAACATGTTCTGTAATGTCACATGAGTAGCCACGGCCTTTGCAATATTTGCAGAGACTATAAAAATCAGAATTGCGATTGCATTGGACGTTGCCTACTGATTCTAAAACCTTAATAGCTAAAGAAATATTAACACATTGTTCTGTAAAAAAGCTTATTTTCCAAAAGCATATTCTCTTACCTCCTTAAGCCCACAGTATATCCCTGTAAAGTAATACAGGTAGAATTGTTCTATCTTTTACATTGAGGCTGAGGAAGCTTGTGTGAATCCAGTCACAATGTTCCCAAGTTTGGGGAGCTTGCCACAATGCATGCCACCTCAGTACTCCAGTAGTATTGGCAAGAAGAAAATCTTGGCCAATCAAAAGCTGTATAATCAATTCCAGTTACCTAAAAGGAGTTCTGGGAAAGTACGAATAATCTAAATTCAAACTTCATCTATCTTTTTTCACCGTGGTCAACGTTAGCTCCAACCATTAGCTGGTTTAATTTATTTTTTTATAAAATAAATTAAAATTTATTTATATTTAAATATTAAATTTATTATTTATAAATTTATTTAATTTAATTAATTTAATTAAATTTAATTTTAATTTCATTTCATTTCTTTTTTTTCTTTTTTTTTATGCCCTGGTTAGAGATAGTAGAATTGCCCAAAGCAGGAAGCCAAAATAATAATAGTGATCATAATCATAAAAGACAAACACAGGCAATCCACAATATACATTAACTCTTTATCATTGAAAATTGTTTTCCCATTATATGTAAAATCTCTGTTCCTAGCCCCCCCTCATCCTGGCCCCACTATCCTTCTGTAATTACCTGGGCATTCTGATGAGTGCTGGGGGTGTGGGTGCTTCTAGGCAAGACTGTTGAGTTCCGTGAGTGCTTCATCTGCTCAGTACAGTTTGACTCAAACCTCTCCTGGAAGGAGGGAAGGCACAGCTGGGCTGGAGGGAGCTTTTGACATGAATGGGTATACTCATTCAAGACCTGTCTGAGCTCATCAAAGGCTGCTCTGTGCCTGTTGATCTTCCGCATCTTTTTTTTTTTTTTTTTAAGATTTTATTTGTTTGACAGAGGGAGACACAGAGAGAGGGAACACAAGCAGGGGGAGTGGGAGGAGAAGCAGGCTTCCTGCTGAGCAGGGAGCCGGATGCAGGGCTCGAGCCCAGGACCCTGGGACCATGACCTGAGCTGAAGGCAGATGCTTCACAACCGAGCCACCCAGGCGCCCTGATCTTCCGTGTCTTGCATGGCACATGGCGCCCCCAGCATCTTTCCCACTTGATGCCCAGTAACAGGGTCCTGTGTGGGTAGAGCCTGGCAGCCTGGATATAATCAAAGGCTCCAGCACATCTTTATGTCTCTTTTTCCTTTTGCATTTCCAGTTGCCACAATCTTCAAATGGAGATTTCCCTTCTCCAGGAGCAGATCTTGCACCTGCAGTTCGTGATTCATTCCCAACATCAGAACCTGCGTGGTGTCATCCAGGAGGTCAGATGAGTCAAGTGTGTTTCTCTGGTAGATGGTGTGTTTACAGGGAGAAGACTGGATACAGGCGGCTTGTCCAGACTTCACGAGCAGTGAGATTTTTCTTCCCACTGACATTTCCTTTTTATTCCTGTGCAACCTGACTCTGTTTTCAATGCCTTCTTCAGTCTATATGCCAACACCTGTAGTGTTCTCAATGAAGATATTTGGAAAATTGTATTTAATTGCTCTTTAGCTGTTTCAGTGATTTTTTTTAAGTGTTCTGAGCCAGAGAATGTACACTGTTCTTTAGAAGATTTTGGAGATTAGAAGATTCAGCCCTTTCTGAGGAAGCAATGATCTGTTTTTATAATCTCACAAACAGTAAATTTACTTAGTAGGTGTGTGGGACAGCACTGTCGCACATTCTGGCCATCCTTCTCTGGGACATCCTGGCAGGTGAAAGAGAGGAGGTCATGGTGGTGGCAGCCGGCTGGACGGTGGGTTGTAAACTCATATGATTTACTTCAAGAAATCTATTGATCTGGTTTGGTCTGTGTCCTTTAGACCTAAAATCAGACCTTCACTAATTTTTTTACTACCGAGTATTTGTTTCCAAAAGGAATCATTTCGAATAATAATGCCTTCTTGATACAAATGTAACATTTGGCTAGGACCTCACCAAAAGGCCGGAGAATTGAGTAATGGCTCTTGGGAGCCAGGAAGGACTTAGGGCGCATCCCACGTTCTTGTTTTACAAAGGAGAAAATGGAGGCTCACAGTAGATTAATGACAGAGCTGGAAATGGCAGAATCAGTCTTAGAATCCACAGGTTTCCTCTCTTTCCACTATCTTCTGGTCATCACTTTACCTCCCCAGTTCGATGTTGCTTTTTAGCAGATGCTTTTCTTCCCCAGCAAAGCAGGCTCACCTCATTATGCTGCGGTTGACCAGATCTCTGCGTTGGGGCACTTCCCCATGCTGGGTGATGGCCTTGCGGGATGGCTCCAGCCTCTGCATCTGCTGTATGAAAGCATTCATTGCATGCTGGAAACATAGAAGGACGGCCAAAGCTGCTTTCCACAGGAGGCATGCCCGCTGAATTTGGTTTAAACAGGTTTTCCAAAGATTACAACGTCTGCTAGGACTGCCTGCATGCTCTCATCCCCAGGGGCCACTTTGCCCTGCTATTTTCTATAACCTACTGAATCCGCCAATGCTTTGGGATTTAATTTTTTTGTTTGATGGATGTGAGTGGACCACAGAAACTTGTGCAGGTTCTGACTTAAGGAACTTCCCTGGTGTCTGACAAGATTTTTCCAATTGTGTTTCCTTAGATGGAAGGATTAAAAAATAACTTAAAAGAACAAGATAAGAGAATTGAAAACCTGAAGGAAAAAGTTAACATCCTTGAAGCCCAGGTAAGGAGGGAATCTGTTGTATATTTCAGTGCGAATGTGAATGTGTGTGAATGGGTGTGTACGTGTGTGTGTGTGCTCAGTGTACCTGTGAGCCTGTGTATGAATGTGTCTTCTGGTGTACCAGGGTGACGCAGTGTATCTGTAGGTGGGCAGGTGTGTGTGTCTGTGTGTGATCGTGCCTGAGTATCTATATATGAGTGCACATGTGTCTGTGTGTGTCTGTGAGTGTCTTTTTGTGAATGTGTGTGCCTGTGCATCTTCTATGCATAAGAAATTATAGATTTGTAGAGAGGTACTCCTAAAAATTATTGAAGTATTAAACATTATTTTATAATATTAAATTATTAATATTAAATAACTTAAATTTCACCCACATTTTCCAGAATGCTTGCTCTCCTGGCGGGGGGGTGCAGGTAAGAACATCTCTCCATGTGGACTTGAATTAGAAGCTGGGTCTAGACCATCTTGGGTGAATTCAGCTCTGGCCAGATAGCTGGGTTTGCTGTCTTACGTCTTTGTTTCCTTCCTGCCCTGACTTGTCCTCTTTCCCCCTCTTTTACCACTCACCCCCAACATCGCTGGCACACTTTGCCTCAGGGCTCAACCCCTTTAAGAAGCCTCTTGTAATTTTCTTATTTTTCGATGTTTTGAAATGTAACATAACACTTCATAATTTACTGTGATAAGATGGACTTTTCTTCCTGCCCACTCCTTCCCCTCTACACTAGGGAAACCCTTTACAGGCTTTCAGCTGTAGACTGAGGCTTGGCAGAGCCCAGCCCCCGCAGGAAGTGCAGCGAAGCCTGCTGAGGCTGCAGGGTCCAAGGACGCCACCGCCCCCTCCCCCTGGGCTCAAGGCTCAGTTCTGGCCCCGCAGCCTCCATCAGAGACTCACCACTGACCCCCTGGACCTCGTCACCTTTCTACTTCATTCTGCAGTATTTTGACTTCCTGCTTGTCTCCCTGCCACGTTGTCCTGTCCTGTGGAATCAGAGATGCTCTGACTGCCCCCAGACACCCCATCATCCTTGGGGGCTTTTCTCACCTGGGATAGACCACGCCCCCAGCACACGGCCACACCTTTTCTCTCACCACCATGTTCTCTCAGCTTTCCCCAAACAGAAGGAACAAATCATCAAAACATAAAGAGGTTGTAAATCGTTTTACATCTTAAATTTTGTAACCATAGCCATGGTGAGCCATTTCTCCCTTCCCAGAGTACCACCGTTGTCTCTCTTCTGGAGGGTGAGCCCTTTGAGCATCCTTAGATGTTCACCTTCTTTCGCTTACACACAGCTGTTTGAGAAAGACAATGCTTGCAACTCTGTGCAGCAGAGATGGGGGAATGATTGGCTCAAAACTCGTGTCCACTCAAGTGCCCGGTAATAGCTGGTCGGTTTACATCGAGGGGCTCAGATGATGGGATTCAGACCACATTAGAGCCTCTTCCTCCCCCAGAAATGTCCCTATGGGGATTTCTTCACTGCTTTTTGTACTTAGTGCCTTTTTTTTGGTTGCAGATGTTACTTGATAAAATATTATTTTCTTATATTATTTTTATGTAACTAATATATATTCATTCATTCTGTACCAATTAGGAGATATGGATAAGCACATATAAAAAGAAAATCATGCAAACTTGTTGTCCGTGGGTAATCACTCCGCACAGTTGTGTCCATCTGTATTTCTGTGGGATTTGATTTGCCTGTTACATACCTATGTGTATGTATTAAAGATTTAGACTATACTGGCATGATATTATGCCCATTTCATTGTATTTTTAAGCTTCACTCATTTGTTCACATCATCAATTTTGTTGTTAATTCTATAAGTACTTACTGAGTGGCTACAGTGACATAGAAGTTGGAACTGGCTAAGGTGGAGAAGTTGCTAAGTTTGGGAAAATAATATTGAACAAAAGAGACATGGACCCCGTACTGTGGAACTGACTGTCTAGAGGGGGAGAGAGATACATAAATGAACATGTAACTAGCAATATTATAGAAGCACTCGGCAGGGAAAGAAGATGATGACAGATAACACCTGGATCGAGGACTTAGTGTGATGGGTGGGAAGAAGCTCTCTAAGGAAATGAATTTTAATCTGAGTTTAGTGAACAGTTGGGTGGTAGGGCTTGTCAGGAAGAGGGACAGAGAGCCATTATGAGTGCTCCTAATCAAGTTGAATGAAATAGCATGGGATGACAATGGAAATGTAGGAAGGCACTAGATCATAAACCGTGCCAAAGAGTTGGGTTTTTTTTTCTATATATAACAATATAACAAGAAGTCTTTGCTTGCCAATCAGATTAGATTTATGTTATCTCTTAAAATAGCCACTGTATTGATATTCAGTAATTTAATGAACTCAGTCCTTATTATTGGACGTTAGATTGTTTTTCAGTATTGCTTTTGTAAAAAACACTGAATTCATCATATTTATACAAACATCACTGATAATTTGATCACTGATACAAACATCACTGATCATTCCTGAAGATAAATTTTTAGAAGTGGAATTGGTAACTCAAAATATATCCATTTTTCAGATTTTTGGTAATGTGTTCTCTGGCTCTCAGGGTTCTGCTTGATTAGTCATCTCCCTCAGCAGCCACAGCCCCACCTGCAGCTGCCTCTGCAGTCATTTTTTTGCACACTTTCAGTGCTTCAGTCCTGATATTTCTGGTCTGCTCATAGTCTTATATTTTTCCCTCTTCATCACTAAGGGATTGACATACATAGAAATCCTTTGTTATTATTTTAATAAAATTGAAGAAGGGAGAGATGACAAACACGTGTGCTCAGATTCCCTTTCTGGACTGGGAATCTCATTTAAATCTAAGTTTATATATAAATCAGGAAGTTTGGTGTGAGGTAGGGATCTAACTTCATAGTTGTCTCACTTTATTGAGAAGTCTGGCCTTTCTTCATGAATTTGAAGTGCCCGTTATCCTAGACTGAATTTTTATGTTGGAAATCTCTTCCAATGGTGTATCTACCTATTTGGGCTCCAGTGCCCTACTGCTTTACACGTTGCACTTTGGTCGCACATTTTAACTGGAGAGATTGTTATCTGTCTCTGAGCTTTCCCTTCATTATATTCTGGCCAGATATAATTAAGTGCCAGCTGTCATCACTGGATCAAGGTATCATGGTACTGCTGCTTTTAATCCAATTTTATGTCCTTTAGATGTGTCTGTTTATTTATATCATTCCCAAAACAAATGTTACAGTCCTAAATAGGCTGCCAGCTTAACTCAGATTGCCCAGGTGCAATACATTATCTAATTGGTCTTTTGGTTAATAGTTAGACCGGAACAATGTTTTTATTATGTTGTTTTTATTGTGCTCTGTTTCTATATTTCCAAATGTAACAAATAATTGCTGATTAGCCACTCAGTGTTATATGTAAGAAAGCAACAAATTTGTTACCTTCATGGGAACTCCTTGGTTGGCTGCAGACTGGGCAGTGATGTGTAAACACCTCTCAATACTGTCTCAGATTCTCTGTACATAGCTTGATTCAAGCGTCTAGGTTTTTTTTAATGCTTTCTTTTATAAAAGAGTCTTCAAACAAAGGAGTATTTTATGAATCTTTATATTCTCAAAATTTCTTATCTTCAGTAGATTAATCTTTTCCTTCACAGCAAGGAGTTTGACAGTGACCCTTTCAGATTTAAGAAGTTCAAGCCGCATTAATTTAATTGATTCGTGAAATAGTTTTATGTGTTTAGGATATTCCAGGAAATGTTTCAAGTGCTGGGCATATAGGTAATGCACAGAACAGACTGTCCCTGATCTCCTCTAGCTTGTCCTTTAATTGAAGATACAGACAATAAACATAAGTAAATAAACAACTTAATTAGGGAGGGACAAGGGCTCTGAAAAGTATAGAATGTGACAATGTGATAGTTATAGAGTAATGGTAGTCAGCAAGGGCATCTCTGAACCTGTGATATTTGACCAGGTACTTGAACTTAGTTCAGTACTTGAACTTAGGTTAACAAGGTTAACCTACTTCTGGTCTGGTCCTAATCAGTGCTTTATTATGAAGTTCTTAAATGATTTATGCAGGGGTATACTATCTTGCACTGCAGATTTAAGACCACTGCCTATTTTGGAATCTATTAAATCACAGGCTAAATTGATTCCATTTATGGTAAATGGTTACCCAAGATTGAATGACCCATTTAAACACATCACCTGTGTTTCTAAACCACACAGACAGCACCATCCATACCCAAAAACATTCATCTCTTTTTTAGGCATGCTACATGCTTCATTTTATTTAATCCTCAAAACTATACTGGGAGAAAGTTATTACTTATTGCATTTTGTAAGTGATTAAATTGAGTTCCAAAGAAGTTAAGAAACTTGTTCAAAATTACTTATTTGAATCTTACTGTCTTGAAAGCACATGCTCCCTTCCCCCCCATCGACAACACAAAATCTATTTATTGGAGTGATTAAATAAGTGTGTGTTGGGGGGGTAAGTGTGTATGTGCATGTGCATAAAAATATGTGTGAAATAAGTGTGTGTATACGATATGTATTTAGAAATGAAGAGTTGTTAAATTTGTCTATTTATATTTATTTTTGTTATTTCATAGTCACTAAATTACAGTGTTTTCCACTTTCCAATTTCTTGAGTCATGGTAACAAATAGTTTTTTTCCTGTGGCTCTTTTTATCCTAGCAGGTTTTTTTCCCTCTCCAGAAGGGAGATACATTCACTCAAATAACAATATCCTTTAAAACAACAATAGCAAAAACAACTTTAAGGCTTTTAAAACTTCTAAAAAATATCACTGGAACATTTCTGCCTAACTCTACCAAAATTATTTACTTTCTTTTCTATTTTTGCCATATCTTTATCGCCTTCATTTTCATCTCTAACTTTCCCTCTCACATCTCATGCATTTCTAGCTTCCTCACTAATGATCTGCTGATATGGAAATGCATCTTCAGAAATTCCTCCATTTTCTGAACATTGAAGATTATCTTGTTTTATATATTCACTGTGATCCCTAAAATTAAATTTAACAAGAATGTGTTGACAGAAAGGGTACAAAAATTAGGTTCTTTTGGAAAACCACATCAAGAAAATATCCTTGGATACAGTCATCATAATGGCAGACATATTCTGGTCCGTGATTTGTAGTTTTGTAAAGAAATGATGTAATAAAACTCGCAGATATGGCTGGTTTTTTTTTTTAAGATTTTATTTACTTATTTGACAGAGAGAGATCACAAGTAGGCAGAGAGGCAGGCGGGGGAGGGGAGCAGACTCCCCACTGAGCAGACAGCCCAATGTGGGGTTCGATCCCAGGACCCCAAGATCATGACCCGAGCCGAAGGCAGAGGCTTAACCCACTGAGACACTCAGGCGCCCCAGATATGGCTGTTCTAATTAAAGGAAATGCTATGAACACCCATGAGTCAAAAATAAATACCTAAATCTAGCAGCTGAAATAAATCAGCAAGGAAGTTGAGATAAATGAACATAAAGACAGTCTAACATGATCCCTCTTATGCTTCTGTATTATTTGATACTCAGCAACTTGAGAAGTTTATTTTGGAAAAAGTCTCAATAGCCTTTAAATAATTGTCCAGCCTGGATTATTTTTTATTCCTGTATTCATTGTCATCATGCTGTTGTGATTCCTATCCCTTCCGAACCTGTAGAGTACTGTACAGAGAGGAGTTTTTCTCAGCAATGTCCTTGGCCTGTGAACGTGCCTACACTTGGTAGGAGTGTGTATGAGCTTGATCTGCACTGTACAAGGAACATCTTCATCATCAATTTATGAAATCTGAAGTACATTTCCTATGTGAGACTTAAGTGCTTAACTCTTGAAACATCGCAGTGAAATGATCATTGTGTGTCAAGATTTTTGCTCCATTTTCGAGTTATTCTGCAGTACAAATGCTGAGGGATAAGAAGGGGCAAAATCCACATCTTGTCTCTGCTTTCCTTACTCCAGTCGCCCTTCATCTTAGCGGTGCATTAGAATCACCGGCAGAGTCTTGGACACTTTTTTTGTTAAGGTTTTATTTATTTCATTTTAGAGAAAAGAGGGTGTGGGGGGGAGGGGCAGAGGTGTCAAGCAGATTCTCAGCTGAGCGGAGAGCCAGAAGCAGGGCTCGATCCCACAATCCTGCGATCGTGACCTGAGCTGAAACCAAGAGTCTGATGCTTAACTGACAGCTGCCCAGGCGCCTCATGAGTTTTGAATACTCTTGAACCCAGACTACAACCAAGTTAAATAGATTCTCTGGGGTGAAACTCTAACATGAGTAGATTTTAAATCTCCCCATAGAGGGATGCCTGGGTGGCTTAGACCTTTAAGCGTCTGCCTTCAGCTTACATCATGATCCCAGGGTTCTAGGATTAAGTCCCACATCAGGCTTCCTGCTCAGCAGGAAGCCTGCTTCTCCCTCCCCCTCTGCTGTTCCCCCTGCTTGCGCTCTCTCCCTCTCTCTCTCTGACAAATAAATAGATAAAATCTTAAAATACAAACAAACAAACAAAAAACAGAAGTTTTGGGCTCCTGGTGGCTCAGTGGGTTAAAGCCTCTGCCTTCAGCTCAGATCATGATCTCAAGGTTCTGGATGGAGCCCCGCATTCGCATTCAGGCTCTCTGCTCAGCAGGGAGCCTGCTTCTCCCTCTCCCTCTCTGCCTGCCTCTCTGCTTTCTTGTGATCTTTGTCTGTCAAATAAATAAATAAAATCTTAAAAAAAAAAAAAAAGCTTTAAGTCTCCCCACATAATTCCAGTATACAACCAACACTGAAAACGAGTACTTTAGTCCAATGGCTCTCAAACTTGAGCAGATGTCAGAACCTTCTGGTGAGCTTCTAAAAACCCATCCCTTGACCACCTTGGGTTTCTCAGTAGATCTCGCTGGAGACTGAGGATCGGTAATTCTAGCCGATTCCCGGGTGATACTGATACTGTTGATATCCCAAGATCACACTTGAAGAACTGTTGCCTTAGTCTTTTCTCCTTTTCCACCTAGGCCATTTCACTTTGTCATCACGGTCCGGGTGAAATCTCCTTGTGTATGAAAATGTGACAAATGATTCTTGTCACACTGATTTCTGTTATACCTTCTATTTAGTAATTAATTACCTAATGCCTATGGCCTCTCCTGAACTGCCTTTATTTATTCACATTTTTTATGTCCACGTGTTTGTTTTATCACCCCCACTCTACCATGCGTCCTGTGTACTGGAGGGAGAGATGCACGTTTTCTTGTGCTTCTTCCCACTCACTCTTCTCCTGGCTTGGTGCCATAGACATGGCAGAGATGGATGGATAGATGGACAGTGGCAGTAGACTAATCGTTGATTAATTTCCTGACAGTTTATTTTTTTTTCTGTTTCATATTTATTAGATCTGAAATCCCTCTGGAAATCATTGAATCTCTATTCCTCCTGAGGCTCACCATTTACTTATTTGTAATATAAGGAGGCTGAGCTAATTCCTCTGGTTATAGAAAAATAACATCTTGCGGGGAAGAGAGCATGGGATTTGGAGGCAGGCCTGCATAAAGCCTGCACATTTCTACAGAATGGGTTATCAGAAACAAGTTAACCTGAACAATTTTGAGATTTGACGCCCTTATTTAATATGCTGAAGAGTAAAAGTTATCAAGGAAAAGTTGTATGGAAAGCACCTGGTAAAGGTCTTGACATTTGCTTGGCACTCATAATTGTTTCCATCAAAATGCATTTTGGTGTTGGCTTACTTCAAATCATCTGGTGGACTTTTAGGAAGTACCTTTTAAAATTCAATTATACGACAGTTTTACTCCTTAGTTTCCTACTAGGGATCGGAGCTGGTGTGTTACTGTTCTTTTTGAAGCCTTAGCTCTACCTGTTAGCTTCCCACCCAGATACCTTCCAGCCCTAGCCCCTGCTACCCTGGTGTATCATTTAAACACTTCTGACCTGCAGTGTGGCCCACTGACAACCCTACCTTGGGCATGACCCTTTGCTGTTTTAAGTCTCATGTTCCTGATCTGTGAAATGAATGTGTTTGGTGTGGCCATGCTATAGGGGTAGCATTGGCTCTGGACTGGAAGGACCCAACTCTGAACCTGAGTTCTGCCATGAACAAGATGTGGGACACTTAAGCTCTTTGGATCTCAGTTTTTAGCTATAAAAATTGTACTTGGACTAGAAAATCATTACTAACTGTCTTTAAGTCTTAAAATCTGGGCCATACACTGAGCTGAGAACAAACTGATACCTCATTTCAGAATCTGTGAAGAGGAGACTATGATTCTATCCTACAGATGAGGAAATTGGGCCCAGAGAGTTTAGGTAACTAAATGAGGTCACATAGCTATTGAGTGGCTAGGATTTGTACCTGGGAACTTTAAACTCTTGCCTTCCTCATTATCAGCTATTGAATTGTCTCCTGGAATTATGAGAGTGCCCCCAGATTCAAAATATTTATGGTCATGTGAGATTTGTTTCCTCCAACAACCAATACATGATAGACAAGATGTGTATCATTTATCACTAGTATAGAGATCAAGACTCTGAGGTTTCAGTGGGAGAATGGAGGCTAAAAATGCCGTGAACTCTATAGTAAAGAACAGATGGTGTTATTTTCATGGAGTTTATAATCAAGAGATTGCCCAAGAATGACAAATGTAATCAATATCATGGGTGTCTTTAAAAGGTTCTTTAACAAAGTATTTTATGAAGTTTTGGTTTTTTGTTTTTTTTTTTTTGCATCTGTATATGTGAAATAGAACATATTTCAGCTGTTAAATTTCAGAAGCTCACGTAGACTACTCCATTTTAATCTCTTGGAGAATTATGCACTTTTCAAGATGTGTTTGTAATTTCAGAGATCATAAGGGACTCTCAATTGGCTACATTCTGTGTTCTAATAGCGTGCCTGAAACAACAAGCTCAGTGCCAAGGAAGGACGTCGGTGGTAGGATGATCAGAGGCATTAAGCATGTGGCTAATGAATGTGCTACCTTTGTGATCTCTGTACATTTTTTTTTTTTCAACTGTAGAATAAAGAACTAAAAACCAAAGTGGCACTTTGGTCTGAAACGCCTAGGACAACTGTATCTAAGTCTGTCTCTACAAGGTAAGGTTTTCCTTCCCCCATTGCCATCTGCCTTCACAGCTTCTGTTGGACATACATTCAAGAATGTTGACGTTTATTCCATTGGAGAAATATTCCAATCTATTAATACTTATGTAGTCGTTGGTTTACTGTGTTTCCCAGTTCTTGAGAAGAAGACCTGTTACTTGTTCATCACTGAACCCTCAAAGCCTAATATAGAAATACTTACTGGAAAAATGAGTGAATAAATTTAGATATCGTTTCTTTTTTTTTTTTTAAGATTTTATTTATTTATTTGACAGAGAGATCACAAGTAGGCAGAGAGGCAGGCAGAGAGAGAGGCTTCCCACTGAGCAAAGAGCCTGATGTGGGGCTCGATCCCAGGATGTTGAGGTCATAACCTGAGCCGAAGGCAGAGGCTTAACCCACTGAGCCACCCAGGCACCCCTAGATATCTTTTCTTGCTTTGTGCCATTTAACAAGCCTAGTCTTGGCTCCAACAATTTCTCTAAGCAGCGCACATCATTTCTTTTCTATTGTCCTTGTTTCTCCATTAACTCCTGTGCTCTGTAGCATCAATGCCCACTTCTGTATCTCAAACCAGGTAGATTATCAATGCTAAGAAGGCAGGAATAGTTCCTTTATTTCCTGCATTGCTAAGGGCAAATGTCTTCAGTAACTACTTAATAATGACTGAATCAAGCAATGATAATGGCCCAGGACAGCAATCAAAATGATGGTTGAAACCATGAAACTCACTTTCTAGTGGTAAAATAACAAGTTAAAAAAAAAGAAAAAAGACGTCTGGGCTCCAATGTTATTTCCATAATATTCTATGAAATTATCACTTAAAAGAAAACATAGTCTTTAATTACATGAACCATTTAAAAAGTGATTAAAAACTTCCTGTTCTAGCAGCTTTTGAATTCCCAGTCTAATCTCTCTAGGGCAAAAGCCTGTTTTCTGAAACTCTCCTGGTTGCAGTGCCTGAGGTAGAAAATCAGGCCTGCTGTGTTTAGCATCCGTCCAGGAAACCAGGTAGATCCATCTCCTTCTTCAGAATTCCCCGCAGGCCTGCTTCACTTTGCTAATGATATATGTAATTAGAGATGAGATGAAGCCATTCTGAATCGAGTCTTCTAGAATTGGGCTCCCAGATGCTAAGTTATCAACTGTTTGGCCACTGGCCCTGCAACTTCCAATAAAGAAAAGAAATTAAGCCCCAGGAAGATTAAAGGAGGAAGTGAAATACCTACGATTCAGAAACAGTGAGAGAAGTAGTCACTTCAGCGAAGGAAGAAATGGAGAGTCCAGAATAGAAGAGTAAGCATGACTTTCCAAGGGAAAGGAAGGTGATTGCTTTTTTTGTTTCCTTACCAGATACCAGTCCCCTTGGGAGTGGTGAGGCATGGTGGCCATTCTCAGCTGTTCTGACCCTATAGGGAATGCACCCAGAGTGCAGTAGAGGAGGGAAAAGCTGGTTGTTTCTATACTGTAACTACTCCAGTACGGAATGCAGATACTCTAGCTGGTACAGAGGGAAGGTGCTGGAAAGAATGACTTCTACCACCAATGCTTTAACTATAGTAAATTAATTGTCAAAGTTCTTTTAGTTTTAGAGATTTTTTTTTTTCTTCCTGTGACTTGGTAGATCTCGTCTTTGTAAGATGAATATATCCAATCAGCTGCTTTGAGAATGTAGGCGGTAGCATGGTTTGGGAAGTCTGGGTTCGCCCGTAGGCAATGGAATTATAACTCAAGGGAGAGACTGGAGTAGAAAAGTAGCTGTTAAGGGGGGAAAAAATCATGTACATTTAAAGAGTAATCCAGGCAAATCTCTTTAATCATCCATAAAATGTAGTTCTATATATCTAGTAAGTACTAAAAAGCAAGGTGTTTCCCTTGAGCATTAGAACATAGAGATACTTCTCCAACACCAAAAGAAGTGTTTGCTAGAGATTCAGGGTCATGTTCTTAGATAACAACAACAGAACACACATAGAAGCATGCGTGTGTGTGTGTGTGTGTGTGTGTGTGAACATATATACATACATATATATTTTAAATACTAGACTCACATAGTTTAAGAGAGAAGCTCAGACTGAGAAGCCCACGGAACTAAAAACGTCCTGGAAGAAGGGTTGATTTACTTATTGTCTCCAAGTCACAGCAGTGTCTGTCTTCACTGTGTGGAATGGCAGATAGGGGCTCTCGTTCTCTCTCCCCTCCCCTCCCTCTTCCTCACTCTTGTTCTCATACTGGGTAGTAGAGCGGTGGTGGAGATGGTAATGGTGGTGATACAGCACTTACATCACTAAAATTTAAAAGTGCTCAGTTTTGGTAATTGTATGGTCTTTTCTAAAGGGAATTGGAGACTGTCGACCGGACGCCCTATGTGATGTTGATTAAGCTCCGGAAATGAGCTGACTGGCTGAAGATCTGAATGAGAAAGATTGCTGCGTGAATCTTATTTATTCCTTGAAACAGAGCGTAAACTTTCATGTTGAAATGGCTCACTGCCAGCATTCAGTGGAATTTACTATACATCAACAGCTTTGCAGGAAGATGACATTCCAGAAAATCAAATGTATATTCAAGGGAAGGAACTCTTTCTTCAAAACTTACTAAATGGGTGAAGACACCAGGGGCTTTCGATGGAAGAGGAATTTTGCTTTAAACTTAAAAAAAGATCTGAATCTTTCTTGCAGATTTTTGCTGAAGGGAGTGGTTTAAGGTTGTCAACAATGACTTTCTGATAGTGGTTTTTATGTATAAAAATGGAAGAATATATGTGTGTCTGAGTAAATGATACATTTTAAAGTTAGCCTTGGATAATAAAATTTCTCAACATGAATTTATAAATTCATCTCCTGACCCAGTGTTCATGGGAGAGTTACTCTCTACTGCATTATGGACAGGAAAAGGAGTAGGTTCTTTTTAGCGAATTCCCCAACCCACATAACCCTCCAAAGCTGAGAATCATGGCATCCCACCACACTTTAGAAAGCCATTGTTCTTCAATTGGGATTGAAAATTGGTTGCTGGAGACAACCCACAAATAAGTACAAAGAAATGGAGCTTGAGACTCTGGCTTTGTGACTAATTTTCCTTTCAAGATTCATTATATTATCTACGCAAGTATTTGGAGGGAAGAATAGAAACACAGTGCTGTCAGCTCATACCTCCATAAAAATGTGTATGTTCTGGGTTTAGAGTAATAGTGGCTACTGTCTGCAGCCACGAAGATGCTGAATTCATGAATTGGAATTAAATGTCCAGTGCTTTTGTGAAAGTGCATTTACATTTTGATACAGGCATTCATCACAGGTGAAGTTTGTGATTGCTATGAGGAAAACCAGACTCTGATTTGCAGAAATGCAAAAATGCTGACACTCAGAAGAGAAAACCCTTGAACTAAAGGAATAATGGGCAGCCTTAGCCCCCACTGAAGGGTGAATTACTTGTAAGGCTTTTGATCATCCTCTCAGACATATGACTGTAAACATTTTCTCAGGAAAGATGCTGGAAGTCTTTCAATGTAGAATGTGAAATAGCAGTATTATCTATGAAATAGTTAAAAATACATACAAATGAGATAAAGTAATGTATTTATAAATTTATCAAAGTACTGTAATCCTTGAAATGTTGCATCACTATGTGTATGCATTTCATGCTTCACGTTTTTATTGCTTCCTAGTTTTTCAAGTGTAGTTATTGAATAACATTTATGGCACAGTTCTTATACCAGGAACAATTCTAAGTACTTAACCTGTCTTAATTACTTCAATCTTCCCAACAGGCCTCATATTATTACCCCATCTTCCAAGGGTGGATCCTGTGAGGTCCAGGACTTTTCCCTGCTGCTAATGATGGAGCAAGGATTTGGACCTCTGACTTGGCTATCAGTAGTCCTTCTACCTGCCCACATGGTGGTCCGAGGTATTGCCACACAATGGAAATACCTCTCTTTTTGCTACTTTTAACAAGCTCAGCTTCCTTGTTCGCTGTATGCATTATCCCATGAATGACAGTCAGAAACAACCTTGACTCATAAAGTAAATATTTTGCTGCATTTAAGTTGGCCTTTCACCTGTTGGATTGCCCTCATGAGAACTTAGTTCAGAAAAATGTCCCTGCTAAAAATCTTCTAATTCTATATTTATCATCATGACCTATGCCACATGGAAGATTTTTTGGTAGAATGTTTTCAGGCACATTTGTAGGGGCATTGGGGTCATGAACTCTGTCAAGTATTTGTGGTATGGTAAAAAAATTCACCTTTCACCTGAAGACCACTTTGGGTTCCTTTTATACTCTAATCACCATGCTGGATGGTAATAAATATGAGAGTTTGGAATGGATCCATATGACTGACCTAACAACTAGAATGATTCTCATTAGAATAATGTATTCTAGAGTCAAAAATGGGAAGACACTGTTGAATTTAATTTAGGTTTAACTCTGCTCACTTTTGAATATGGGAGTACAGTTGGATGTGATAGGACTGGTCATGGGTTCTCCATGTTCACCCTGGAATGGTCTTTGGATTTCCTAAGAATAAGAACAAGCAGTTTCAGAAGCTTAAAAAATGTCTGGACTCTTCAAATACAAAAGTATCTTTTTAGTAACATCAGCAGTATCATTTATTTGTCATACGTGGATTATGTCCTATATCTTTATTGTTTCAGTCTTTATCATTTAGAATGTTTTTTGAATACATATTTCTGAGCAATAAAATAAATGATCACAGTGGGGAATAAAAAACATTAACCTAAAAGTAGTACCACACAAGATACACAGGAAAAGGAACACCAGTTCAATTATAGTCTAAATAATTATACTAATAATTACACTAATCTATTTATTAAATAAGAAGGTCTGGGGTAGACCTGGAAGTGAATACAGGAAGGTGGGAGATAAAAAGAAACTTAGTTCACTTTGATTATATATTGTTACAAATTATCATTAAGAAATGTTTAAGCAGCAACAAAAAGAAATGTCTAAACAATAGGTATAATACATATATCTTTTGAATAATTGCTTATGGTATGCCTTACAGTAAAGAAATTGATACCATATTTTTTGTTATTTCTTTTTACATTAAAACTATTATGCATAAGTGGATTAAGTCATTTTTATTTGATTGTTCATGACATTATAACCCTTCATAAATGAATTGTTTTTGCCAATGAATAGATTAAATTTAGATAGCTCCCTGAATTTTTCTCTTGATTTTCCCTGGATCCAAATTGATGGAAAAAGTAATCTATTAAGTTTTTATTCTGAATCTGAAAAAATAGCAGCATTATTATAAAATTACAAACACTCCTCAAACATTTTCTTATTTCTTTATTTTGAAAATCTTCACCTCTCCTCTGAGCTGGGAATAATTATAGAATCCTCATCAATATTGACGTAGGGACCCAGTCCATCAAGAACTGAAAATTCCCAGGGCACCTGGGTGGCTCAGTGAGTTAAAGCCTCTTCCTTCAGCTCGGGTCATGATCTCAGGGTCCTGGGATAGAGCCCCACATCGGGCTCTCTGCTCAGCAGGGAGCCTGCTTCCTCCTCTCTCTCTGCCTGCTTCTCTGCCTACTTGTGATCTCTATCTGTCAAATAAATATATAAAATCTTTAAAAAAAAAAAAAAGGACTGAAAATTCCTTCAACTAATGTCATCATTATCATTCTCCTCACTTCCTCCCTTTTTTACTTCCTCACTTCATTATTTTTTTTAGTGGGAAATACTAAAGATGCAATAAATATTTAAATAACCATATCTAATTGTTTTGTTATTATTAAAATATATACTTATAAGTGATAAAAATTGAACTAGAATGACAAAAAATTGGGATTTACCCTAGGCATGCAAGGTTGGTTTATCACTTGAAAATCAATCAGTATAATTAACCATAACAAAGAATAAAAGCTATGTAAGTGTATTAATAAGTGAAGGAAAGTATTTGACAAAATTCAGCATTCATTCATAATAAAAACTTAGCAATCTGGGAAAAAGAAATTTTACCATTCTGATAAAGAGCATTTACAAAAAAGCCTTTGGTAACTATAACTAATGATGAAAAACTAATGGTAAAATGCTTGCTTTCACCACTTTTCTTAAACATTATATTGTAAGTCCTAGCCATTGGAATATGTCAAGAAAAAGAAAAGGGGAGAAAAGCACACAGATTGGAAAGGAAAAGTAAAACTGTCCGTTGTTGTTGTTCATATAACTGTTGATGTAGAAAACGTCAATGAATCTGCCAAGCAGCTACTAGAACTAATGAGTAAAATCAACAAGGTCACAGATCACAAAGTTAAAATACAAAACTCAACATATTAACAGTTTGGGATTGGTGAAAACATAGACCGATATATAAGTGAATAGAAAGGAGAATCCATAAATAGACTCATCTACGTGATTGATTTTTGACCAAGGTTACAAGGCCATTGAAAGGAGGCAGGAAATTCTTCTAAATGGTGCTGAAAATAGTCCAGGTTTTGATGTGAAATAAAATTAGTATTAATTCTTATCTCACACAATATATAATAATTAACCTAAATGGACAATATGCTTAAATATAAAGCTAAAACTATAAAATTTCTAGGAGAAGATAAGGTAGGCAAGATCCTTAAATAGTACACAAAGAGTACACCATAAAAGAAAAAAATTGAAAATTGGACTTGATTAAAATTCAAATACTTTGCTCTTTGAAAGACACCACTAAACAAATTTTTAAAAAAACAACCTACAGAATGGGTGAAAATAAGCACATGTATAGGATTTGTATTCCAAATATTTAAAGAACTTTTGAAATATAATGAGAAGACAAACCAATAAAAAATATTGGCAAAAATGTTTGGAAAGTCACTTCATAAAACAAGATAGACAAATTACAAAGCACACATTAAAAAGATGCTTAATCCATTAGTTATCAGGGGAATACAAATGAAAAGCTCTAAGAAATAAGCACAAAAACCAACACTAGAACAGCTAAAATAAACAGACTGGCCTTATGGAGTATGTGGAGCAACCAAATCATATGCTAAAGGTGGGAACGCAAAAATGGTATAAGTACTTCGGTAAATATGTAATTTCTTTACAAGTTAAGTATACACCTGCCATATGACTTGGCCACTCCATTCTTCGGGGTTTTTTTACCCAAGAGAAATAATAGCTTTTGTCCACATAACAACGTGTATCCGAATTTTCATAGCACCTTTTTTTGTAGTACCCCAAAACTAAAAACAAAACAGATATCCATTAATAGGTGAGCAGGTAAACAAAATGTACATCTATGTGTTGGAATATAACTCAATAAAAAGAAACAAAAAGCACAAACAAATATATACAACAGTGGATAAACTTCAAATCTTTAGACTTAGTGGAAGAATCTAGAGGAAAAAGAGAGCGGACGTACTGTGTGTTTCCGCAGTGACAGCAAATCAGTATATGCCTGGGGACACGAGTAGAGAGAAAGATTGCATGGGAGTACAGAGAAACAGAGTAGACACGTTTGGTGTGTTGATATTGGCAATGTCATGGATGTGTTCCATGACAAAAATCAATACCTTGTACAATTTAAATATTTACTTCAATAAAGTAGTAAAAAAAATCAGTAAAAAAATTAGTAAAAAGTATTAAAAAAATTTAAGTTAATTATATAATTATAATTAATTATATACTATATAATTATAATTATTATATATAATGTATGATATATTATATAATATATAATGTATATAATATATTAATATAATATATATTATTATAAAATGTAATTATATAATAATATATAATTATATAATTAATAACTATGTTATTCTTTAACCACCCGTCAGGTTCTCACATAAGATTCATTCATTTTTTTCCTTTCAACAGATATTTATTGAGTGCCCTCTATTTGCCAGGCACTGTTCTAGATGCCAGGGCTATGACAGTAGAGAAATAAGAGGACATGCATGTGTCAGGGACGAAAGAAAAGAAAAATCTCTACCTTCATGTAAATATATTCTAGGGACAAAAAAACATAATAAAGTCAGAGACATCCCATGGACAGTAAAGAAAAATAAAGCAGAGCACAGGGGTCGGGAGTTACGGGGGGGGGGGGAGGTCTTGTGGTTGCAATTTTAAACTGGGTGATAATTTTAAATGTAACTATGGATTGGTAATTTAAATAGGATAGTCATTTTTTTTTTTAAAGATTCTATTTATTTGTCAGAGAGAAAGCACAAACCGGGGGGAGCAGCAGGCAGAGAGAGAAGCAGACTCCCCGCTTGAGCAAGGCACCCATTTCGAGGCTCGATCCCTGTACCCTGGGATCATGACCTGAGCCAAAGGCAGATGATTAACAGACTGAGCCACCCAGGAATCCCAGGATAGTTATTGTAAATAAAACCTCTCTCTTTAAAGATAACATTTAAGCAAAAACAGGAAGAAGGCTAGGAAAGTGACCAAAGGTGGTGTTATTTGGTGGAGGAAGGGTCCAGGAAGAAGCAAGCACAGGTGCACCAGCTCCAGAGGACAGGCAGACCAGGTGTGTCCCGGAATAGCCAGGACATCAGCGCAGCTGGACTGGCAGCTGGAGAATAAGTCCCAATATGGTCTAAATCATTTTCCATGCAACATGTTCTTTCACGTGTCCTTTGTATAAATCATTGCTCTTATTTGAATAATAAGTTATCCTTCCAGTTCTTTGAATTCTGAGCAGTGGTAAGCTAATGAGTTTTAGGAATCCATATCTCGGTTCTTGTTTGTCTATGTTTTCCTAACATGCTGAGAAAGCCCGTGTTTTCTGGAAGGCACAGTGAA